CTTAAAACTGAGAGACTAGTTTGAGTAGAAACAGAGAGACAGACGGACAGACGGACATTCTCATATCAACTCAGGAGGTGATCCTGATCAAGAATATATATACTTTATGGGGTCGGAGATTTCTCCTTCACTGCGTTGCACTCTTCTGGACCGATTTTTGCGATATATTCGGTTTCAACTGCAAGGGTATTTCAACTTCGGCTTCGCTCGTAGTTAGCTTTCTTTTCTTGTTAAAATTATATTTTTTTTCGAACCAAAATTTTTCTAGTTTATGTAGCTAGTAGGAAGAAGGCCGAGATTTTCTTTACCTGGTCTAAAAGCATTGGAATAACTGACTTGATCCATTGATAGGATAATTAGGCCTTTATTAATATTCAATTATATATACAGTCGAATCCCGATAATTCGTACCGCGCTAAATCAAAAATCGCGATATTCGTAAAAAATTCTGTCCTTTGAAAAAAACTCGTTAATTCATAAAAATTCCATATACTTTGTTATCCTCGTTAATTCGTAGTATTTGGCGTAACCTCTTATAAATCGTAATGCGTTTAGTTAATCGCTTAGTTTGCTGATTTTTTTTGGAGAGTAACATCGTTCTGTGAAAATGTCACAAAAACGACATTTTGGAAGAAGTTTTGACCAACAATTCTGAAAGTGACGGGGATGATGACGCCGATGGAGAAGAAATTTTAACGAACTCACAAGCCAGAGCATTAATTCCTCAACTTAAACAATTTTTTTCGACCCATGATTTGCCAAATAGTGTCTTTGACAACCTAATAACCTAATTTGACAACCTTTAAAAAACGCAATGGAAAAAATAAAAGAAAACAAGAAAGGAAAGCTAAATTCGGGCGTTGCCAAAGTTGATATACCCTTGCAGTTGAAACCGAATATATATCGCAAACATCGGATATAGTTGTCCGATCCTTATGAGAATATCATAATGAAATCAATTAATTACAATAAAAAATCTAAAAAAAAAGCCCAAACTTCTAACTTAAAAAATACCAAAGTTGATACTTCTACCAAATACCAGATGGTTATATGGCAGCTTTAAGATATAGTCGGCCTATCGTTATGAAATTTAGTAGGTCGGGTTAGCTGACCAAAAATAGAAGCTGTACTAAGTTCCGAAAGTTGTGTCATTTCCGATCGTTATCGATCATCGATCAGTTAAATGGCAGCTATAGGATAAAGTAGGCCGATCCCTACGAAATTTAGCATGTCGTACTATTTTGGCAAAAATAGCTTTCATGTAAAATTTGAGCTATCTTACTCTAAAAACCCCAAAGTTATACCATTTTCGATCAATCAGTTATATGGCAGCTATAGGATATAGTCGGCCGATCCCGGCCCCCGATCCGACTTATATACTGCGTGCAAAGGAAAGAAGGGTGTGTGCAAAGATTCGAGTCGATAGCTTTAAAACTGAGAGACTATTTCGCTAGAAACAGACGGGCAGACGGAAATGCTCATATCAACTCGGGAGGTGATCCTGATCAAGAATATAGATACTTTATAGGGTTTCCTTCACTGCGTTGCACACTTTTGGACAAAATTATAATTCCCTCTGCAAGGGTATAAAAATTGATCTGCGCGGATATCATACGATTTCAAGTTCCAAATCTAAAAGTTGTATCTCTTATAGTCTTAGAGATCCACTCCTTCAAAATTTTAGCCCGTTTGTATGGGTATTTATTATAATTATTTGAGAATTTTACGCGCAATTGAAATTGTATGGGTATATCTCCTCCAAAAATCGGCCGATTGAGATGAAATTTGTTTTTACAGTAACTATAGAAATAGTTTGGTATCAATAGGTTTTAAAAAAACCTTTTAGTACATTTGTTGAAACGGATGGATGACACTCATGAGACAAAGAATAAACTTAAAGTGTAATAAAATTTATGTAAGGGCTTAGTTTCAGCCTGCGAAAATCTTTTTAGGAGATGGCACAACAGTTTTATATAATGTGGCGCGATTGAGCCTACTCCGTATAAGGGTGACGTAAGCGACATCACACAACACAGAATCTGTGACAATTAAATATAGAACTTGGACAATTTGTATATTAATATTAAATTATTAATATTAAATGCTGATATATTCAGCTTGCGCCATAATTTCATGCATATCATCCAACCACAAAAGGGGATTACTACCTATCCGTCATCGTTTCGTCTTATTAGAGTTAATGGTAGGGATGTCGGAAATATATCAAAATATCCATATATCGATATATTTTCTCTTAAAAAAATATTATTATCGGAATATTTTTTGGGCAAAAATAGTCGATAATAATATTTTTTAGTTGGTATTTCCGATATTTTATGTTTGGTCACTCTTAAGCCAGAAATTGGCATTAAGTTATCTTATCACGCCTGGAAGTACGGTTCCATCTGAACGGTTGGCTTCTGCCATTAAATGTATTGTCTGTGACTCCCGTAGTCGAATGACAGACGAGCATATAACCGAAAGTTTTTTTTAAATCATTGAAGAAAGATTTGTTTTGTAATTAAGAGTAATTAGGAGCATTAAATAAGATAATTAGGTAATAAGCATTATTTAGTACATATTCCATAAATTAATTAAGTTTTAAAAAACTTTTTTTTTTATATTAAGTTTTTTCATAATTAAATTTGAATACAATGTCCTTAATAATTTTGTTATTTTTTATTTCAAATAACGTAAATAAAAGTTGCTTGAGAGTGGGTATAAATATTTGTTGTTTTTTAAATTCACTTTTTAAATAAAAAATAGCTCTTATTTGCAGTTAATGGCGGATGAAAACACATATTAAAACCTTTTTTTAAATTTACAAATAACCTTTTTTCAATTTTAGCTGACCATAAAAAATATCAAAAATACGCGATATATCGATTTTTTTATGTGATATTTCTTAATATTATCGATTGATATTTTTTTCACAGCAAATATCATCAATACGATATTTTTTTAAAAACCAACAACCCTAGTTAATGGCTTCTGAAAATTAACCGGAATAAAATTTTCTAAGTAGTAACTACGAACTACTAAAAGATAAAATAGTCTAGGCCAAATTCAAAATGTAGCTAAGGGACTGGTTCAATACAGCATTTGGAGTAATAATTTATGACAAACAAGAAAGAAAAGCTAACTTCGAACGGAGCCGAAAGTCCGAAGGTCGGATCAACTGACCAAAAACAGAACCTTTTCGAAGTTCCAACTTTGTCAAAAACACGAAAATCTGACACTTTTTTATACTCCTGCAGAGGGTATTACAATGTTGGTAAAAAGTGTGCAACTCAGTGAAGGAGACATCTCCGACCCTATAAAGTATATAAGTATATTCAGGAACAGGATCACCTCCTGAGCGTTTTTACGCTAACTAGTCTCTCAGTTTTAATGCTGTCGACTTAAAACTTTGCATACAGTATATAAGTCGAAACGGCCGGGATTGGCCGATTATATCATATAGCTGCCATATAACTGATTGATCGAAAATTCTATAACTTTTGTGTTTTTAGAAATAGTTTGGTTTTCCTATGGATTATATTTTTGAAAAAGGACATACCAAATTTCATAAGGATAGGCCGACTATATCTTTTAGCTGCCATATACATAACTGAAAGATTTATTTATTGCTACTTGATTTGACCTACCAAATTTCCAAAAGAACGCCCGTCTACATCCTATAGCTGCCATATACCTGAACGATCGGTTTTTGGTTTTTGGTAAAAATACCAACATTATTATTTTGGCAGATAGAAGCAACTTATTAAAAATTTAGTATTCTAAGGAATTGGTTTTGTGATAAAATTCTCACAAGGATCGGCAAACTATATCCGATATTTGCGATGGATATCCAATCTTATTTAAACTGCGGCGCTGCCCGAAGTTAGCTTTCCGATCTTGTTTTTAACTTTTTTTAGGCGTTGAGACTAAGGAATAGTGTTAGTTTTGGTTATTTTTAAGTTTATGCATAGTTTTTATACCCTTGCAGAGGGTATTATAATTTTGGTCAAATGTGTGCAACGCAGTGAAGGAGACATCTCCGACCCTATAAAGTATATACATTCTCGATCAGGGTCACCTCCTGAGTTGATATGAGCATGTCCGTCTGTCTGTCCGTCTGCCTGTTTCTACGCAAACTAGTCTCTCAGTTTTAAAGCTATCGACTTGAAACTTTGCACACACCCTTCTTTCCTTTGCACGCAGTATATAAGTCAGAACGACCGGGTACAGATTATATTTTTGGTCAGCTAATCCGACCTACCAAATTTCATAACGATCGGCCGACTATATCTTATAGCTGCCATATAACTGAACGATCGGAAATGGTTTTTGCTTGAAATACCAACTTTGGTATTTTTGAAGATAGAAGTTTGGGACTTTTTTTTAGATTTTGTACTGTAATAAATTGGATTATATATTCATATATATTCCCTTCTGGGAATATTTCCATAAGGTTCGGCCAACTATATTCGATGTTTGCGATATATATCCGGTTTTAACTGCAAGGGTATATAAACTTCGGCTCCGCCCGAAGTAAGCTTTCCTTTCTTGTTTACTTTGCATTTGCAGCAAAAGAATGATATAGTTCAGCATTAACGCAGGTCGGGCACCATACGGTGCCAATGTTGTCGGGCAAAAAATTGGACATGAGCCAATTCCCCTCTTTAGTTAGAATAAAGAGAAAAATGGCCACATGTCATATAGCATATAGCTTTGCCCTGGTTCGGTTTTCTGGTTATGAATTTAAGTACCCAAAAGAATAGGCTTGTGCATGTTTTTTTTGGTAGGAATTAAAATTATCTAAAAACTAATTAATTATTTTAAAATCATTATAATTTTTAATATCAACTAAAAACACACATTTTTATTGGCAATTTTTCGTTTCTGGAAATGTTTTAGAAAGGTTAAAATATGTAAAAAATATGCAATGACCTTTACAAATTTAATATGATAATTACCCTTATGCACCTTTGATTTTTAATGAATTGATATCTATTTAGAGTGCGGAAGTTGGAATGCGAAGCATTGTTATGTTGGATGAGCAAGGAGGTAAGAATGTAATAAAAAATCCGAAATATATATAAGTTACGTGCTTACAATGTACCATAGAAACAACGACTCCATAATGTGATGAAATTGACACATTTTACCTGAGCTGGGGTTGTTTGTCGAAACCTGAAGGATTTTTATCTAATTTTCTTGGTCTTAACTAGACAGCATGAAAAAACAAGAAAGGACGGCTATAGTCGAGTTTCCTGACTATGATTCATCCAAAAATCGGGCAATTTGATTGACATTTGTTTCTTAGATATTTATTAACTATAGTTTGGCATCAAAAGTTTTTCTTTTGAGAGAAGTGGAATAATTTTGAAACAAACTTTACTTTGGACAGTAGGACATAGACCTAACTAACTGTAAAACTCAAACATTCCATGTTTATTTTATAATAATATTTTTGTTAGATTGGTTGATTTGGTTTTTTTTGTTGATTTGGTTTTTAGTATAAAATTCTTCCTCTTGCATTCTGTTTGGGTACACCAGCTTGGCGAAGTTTTTTTTAGATGGAGTATCTGAGTAGCGTTCAGAAGACATTCGGAATGCCTTTTTGTCTATTAAAAGAAAGCTATACGTGTTTGTAATTTTGTTCGGGTATTTCAATAATCTGGTTAAATAGCAACCTATACACTTAGTTGAGATGATCAACAAATTTGTTTGGAAGTTGTTAATAGTTCTTTCTTTTGTTCGTAGAATCCTAGAAAAAATGTTTACCAGTGTCCATGCAGATGTTCTGCATATTCTGTATAATTTTCTGATCCAGCTTAATTATACTTTATTTAGCATTTGTCTTCTTGTCATTTTTCTTGTTTCGTTACAAAAACCAGAGTCAAGCTTGTATAAATAGTTCAATAGTTCTATAGTTCAATAGATCGATAACTATTTCTATGATAACTATGTATGTACCGTTTTTTTCGTGTGCCCAAAAATGCACCCATGAAATGTAAGCACTGCTGCGCAGAGTTCAATCGAGGTTACGACTGCGCCTTAGTTGGTGCTAAGGATTTGGCTAAGAGGAGTCAAGTTTAACTGATGCCGTTAGTGATGGTGCGTATATAGAGATGGCATCCGTAACTACGCTAAGAGACATCTTCAAATCCCTGGAATTCTCCCTTGTGTTCAAGAGAAATGAAGAAATAGGGAAGAATAGGTAATTCTAAATGTTGAAAATCTTGCATTTCATTATAATAGGGGCTATTCATCATTGGGTCATGAGTTAAAAATCCAGACACGGCGCTAAGTTTTGTTGGTCTGCTGTAGAATAAATATTGTCCACGCATTTTAGTACACGTATCTCCTTCTAACTGCATCGGCAGTGTCGATTCAACACTTCTTTTCCGAGGATTGGAATAATTCCGAATGTTGAACTTCGTAATTCAGCGAGTTTTTTTTTTTTGTCTGCTGGAGCATTAAAACTCTGCTTTCATTTTGCCCGCATACCATGGCACGCGCCACTAGTCATGGAAACGATCGAGTCAATCAAGGCTTTTCGCGATCTAGTTCAGGTTTCAATTTCTAGGAAATGACAGTCTAAAAAATAAAAATCGGTTTATGGAATTCAAGAGGTATAGCTCAGAAAAGTGAAGAACATCGGACATAATGCTCATTACGGAGACACACATACGTCCCGGTCTTAATTTGTACCTTCCTTGTTATGACCAATACTTTGCCAATCACCCTAGCAACTCCGCTAAAGACGGCTCTGCTATCTTTTTCAAGACCAGCATTATCCACACGCAGAAATAGCCCACAACGCGAACCGACTTACAGCTAACTTGCATTAATATTCTAACAAATGGAGGGGTACTTAGAATAGCTTACTTGTATCTTCCTCCCAGCGATCCTTGGACAAAAAAATGATTTTGACCAGCTACTAGTTTCTCTGGGCCCAAAATTTTTGGCTAGAGGTGACTTTAATACCAAGCATCAATGGTGGGGAAATTTAAAGTCCTGTTGCCGGGGAAAGCGACTTCAAGAGGCCATAGTTTCAAGCTCAAGGCAAGTTCAAGCTTCTGGGGAACCTACTTTTTATTCCTCAATACCAGGCTCACACCAACAGCTCTGGACTTCATAAATGAGGTACCAATCAACAAACTTTCGATCGAACGGAGCTACACTTGTGAGGAGTGAATGAGCGGCTGCAAGGATTTCTTCAAACGCATTTGAAAGAGAAGCCCAAAGAAGACACAGAGAAAACCCAAAAAAAGTACAGGGCGCAGATTCCCAAAGTGCTAAAGTAACAGAGCACGTGCAGAAAAGTTTAAGGTTGGCTGTCGATTTTTAGGGATAACCTTTTTAGGGTTAGTTTTTGTGGTTCTTATATATAAGCCCTTATATTATTTGCCACGGTTGCAAATGTGCTTTTACAGTTTGATGCATTTAATGTCATTATATCTCACTTTTCACATCCCCACAAATAGGATCAGGTATATTTCTCATATTTGGTGAATTTAAACATTAAGTGGTGTACGGACATTATTTCTCTTTTCCATTTTTTGCACCATCTTCAGCGAGCTTAGAATCCACCCAGATTTCTCCCTGTAATCTCCACAAAGCTTTACTTGCCTTTTCTCCCCTTTGTAAACTAGTTGTTTAAGAAGAGTCGTAGATCAAGCATGGCAATCGGAGTGGTGGAGAAGGTCAGGGTATAAACCACGAGGGATTAAAGCTGACCCATTCAGAAGTAATTGAACCTAACCAATGTAAAGAACATTAACTAATTAGAAAGTAATAAATAAATTAAGTTCATTGCATAACTCTGGCTAGTCGTTTGGATTTGAAAGTCCCCCGAGCGGAGATGTGCTTAACTATCACATTCCGCCCATGAAAGGCATTTGTCACAACATTTTTGTGGACAATGAGGGAAACAATACACGACTCCACAATCCATTGTCATCTCCGAAAGTTCCATTAAAGTCTTTAATGGAAACCTTAACTCATCACTGAATTATTATTCTTCTTCTCAACTTCTCAAGAACTTCGCATCGCACGTATTTCGCATCGCAGCGAGCATTTAATTTAAGCTAAGAGGAAGGAAAGGAAGGACAGGAAAGAGATGTTATAGAGTAGAGACCATTCTAGTTCGAGCATAGACCCTAAAAGTTCTGTGCATATGTCGAACTACAATGGCATAGAGGAATAGAGGACCGAAATTTCTAGTCCTTCTATTAAGAATGTTAAAATTTAAGCGAGTTAATAAATGCTGGCTTTCTACATAATATATCCAATATATGGATATATTATTTCTTTAAAGCCTTCACTGTCTAGAAATATAAATGGTTTTTAATCAAAGAAGAAACTATTGCTTTTTCGCTTGTTTGATATGATATTTGTCGGTTTTCTTCACTTCGGTTAATTTTGAATTTCCAGAATTTTTCCACTTATTGAAAATGTCCATATTTTTCATTGTTAAGGGGAGGGTAAGGTATTAAATTTTTTTTTTCCTTTTTTTTTTATTTTTTAAATTGAATGCATAATATCTGAAGAATATTGTGTCAAAATTTCAAGTCAAATTAAGCAAAATTGACGAAGTTATTAGTTATTGACGAAGTTGCTTGCAAACGTTTTACACTGGATTTTTTTGTGTTTAAAACTTTAAAGCGTTTTTCCCTATTTTGCAATGACAAATTAACCGATTTTTTCCCAAAAAATTGAGTTTTTCACTTCAAAGTCTTCGAAAAAATTAAAAAATTGAAATTTTCAAAAAATCTTTACAGCGTTACCTGGGGCGAACTATTATCTAACGAATGAATTTTCATTTTTTGATTACAAACGATCCAGCACCGAGTTATGAGGGGCACCGCAATTCAACTTTTTTTTGCGACACGTCCGGACAATTGCTACCATTGCCATATTTTTTAAATATTTTTTTGTAAAAATTTTATTAAACATTTTTCTAATGTCATACTTTAATATAGCGTTGGTTGAATAAATAAATTATAACTGTGTCGTCAGGAAAAAAATCACAAAAACATGGCTTTTTTCGCATGATTTGACCTTACCCTCCCCTTAAATGCCGTCATAGATTTGTTGAATGATTGCCGGAAAATTTAATACCTCAACAACTACAAATAAATTGGTTTTCTTTCAAATAAAATTTAAAGAATACGTGCACTTTTTTATTCAATTCTCTTTGCATTATAAACAAAATACGGCTTAAATGTTTCACACAGAATTCACGGTTCCAATTAAAATTTGGATGCAAAACAAACGCTAAACAATTTTCTTGTCTATGCGTGTGACATTCACATTCATACCAATACATACGTAGGAGACCTTTTGCTTCACTGAACAACCATAATAGAAAACAACGGTTTCGCTCTGAGCGTAAGCCAGCTCATTTAAGAACCTATAAATCGTTTGCTCTCTGAGTCATTTCGTAAAAAATCAGAAAAAGAATCTCTGGTTAAAATGAAAAGAAAGCACGCTTCATGCAGATCCTCTATCCTTGCCCAACACCACCTTGGTCGGTATCTTGATAGCCCTGTTGCTAAGCTGTCAATCTCTTCCGCTTTTTCGAGCAATATTTCTGGGAGTTTCTCTGCCTCAACTTTTGGCGGCCCTTGTTACAAGTCAATTGTAAATCTAAGAAACAAATTGGACACAGCCCCACAGCTAAGACTCAACCAAATTTCGCTCTGATGAAAGGTACTACCCTGGAGTGTATTTTTTTCCCATCAAACATTTTTGACAAACTTTGAGCGGGGATGAAGTTGTATGCATTGGATACACTTGGCCGATCCTTATGAAAATATTATAATTTAAACAATTTATTACAATACAAAATCTAAAAAAAATCCCGAACTTCTCTCTTCAAGAAAACTAAAGTTGGTATTTTGGTAAAATGTTGGTAAAAACCATTTCCGATCGTTCAGTTCTATGGCAGCTATAAGATATAGTCGGCCGATAGATATGAAATTCGGTAGGTGGGATTAATTAGGCCAAAATAAAATCTATTCCAAGTTTCAATTGACTGTCTTAAAAAACACGAATGT